GCCCATGGCAACCCACTGCCACAGGGGCTGCAGCCTACGCCGTCGCTGGCGACTCACTACAGCCCAGCTCCAGGTTGAGCTGTTGTTCAGCATCTTAGCTGTAGAGGGCAGTGTCACTGGCCCTCATATGTGGGATCTGAACCGGGGTCCTCTGGCATCCCAAGACAGCTCTTAACCATCGTGCCACTCGGCTGGCCCGCACCACTGCTTTTTTTAAGAAACAGTAAAACCTTTGGGAATTTTCGGTAACAGGCTCTGTTTAGGGCCCAGGGAACATCTCTTAGAGTTTCTGTTTTAAAAATCTGGTTAGAATAAAATGAGAGCAGCAAATGCCTTTTCCTGTCCATGACCTATTTTGCATAAGTAAAGTACCCACTTAACTCTGCAGCTCAAGCATCTCCCAGACCTAAGGTGGTTGTTATGGCTTGTCTCCCTCCTTGGACCTTAGAGCGTGGAAGAATAAGCATCTGGGAGATATAGAGACTGCCCTTTTCCTGGTTCCCAAGAATAGAATCTCTACCTGCTGTGCGAGGAGTAGACTAGGTTGAGGTCCCTGCCAGTGTTGATGACTGGAACATCCTGGAAATATGGCAGCAAAATGGATTCCTTAAACGCTTAAAAGTATTTAACTACACTCCATTTATCCTTTGGTATCTTGATAGTGTGTGGTGGATATGGGCCTGTGGTTGGGTGATAGGTATAGTGGGAAATGAGGCATTCATAGATAAGCATTTTGAATAGGATGGGATTTTTCTGTCCATTATTAATATTTCTGTTAAATTTCAATATTGTTGGTGAAGAAAGTAGTGATGCAAATGCTATGCTTCCAGTATTCATTCAGGATGGGGACAGCACTAAAAATTTTGTAAATACAAGATAATAGTAGTATTGACAATTAAGACATAATTGTTGAATTGCCATTAAGCTTCTGACATGTTTTATTATGTTAGACTAAGATGGAAAACAGGTACTATTGTACTTTGGTCAGAATTTGCTATTGTAATAGACAAATGAAAGGACTGGGGAGGGGTAAGAAGGGAACTTTTATTTTATTTGTAACATTTTTTTTAAGAAAACAATCAAAGCAAAAATGGTGAAATTGCTAGCATTTCTTAATTTGGGGTGGCAGATACTTGATTTACATATTATTCTCTGTACTTTTCTGTATTTTGAAACTTTTTTCCAACTAGAAAGTGTTAAAAACCTTATATAAATGTGGTCGTTAGCCTGAACTCCAGTGTTGGTTCTTTTATTCTGGCCCCATTAATCTGACTTTTAAATAGTGGTTCTCTACTTTTTTTCCACTTGGTCAGCCTGAGCTATTCTGTGTATGCCCATCCATAACAGTTACTGTCCAAAGAAGTTGGGGCAGAAAAATTGTGTAGAGATGCTGAGGACTCCCCCTGCCGATCACTGATGCAAATGTGTAACACGATGTAAGTTGTACTTTCTCTAAACCAGATTTTTCATTTTTGGCATCTCTTTCTTTATCCAGGGCACCAGAGCTAGCACCTCTGAAAAGTAAAATGATCTATGCAAGCTCCAAGGATGCAATCAAAAAGAAATTTCAAGGTATGGTCTAGATTTACTTCCAAATATTTAGAGGTATGGTGAGCCCCTGGAATGGGGGCTACATCTTTTCTAAGAAGTACCTATTTTCTTTGAAGAGCCTTGGCCACAAAGAAGGGAGGCACTGCTTGTTTTGAGAAAAAGGCCAGAAGGTTGAACCTGGTTTTCAGTGTGTCCTCACTCTGGGTCTGCATGGCTCATATTTAATAACCCTATTCTCTCCACACTGTGTGCCTATCACTTATTCAAGCTGGTTTTAAACTAGTCTGAGATGCTGCCAAGTTTCTCACATAGCAGGTGGAGACTAATTTATTTACATTGGTCATACTAAATGATAAATTTGCTCTTGCCTTTGAATGTAGTTGACATAACAAAGTTGAAAAAGGAAATGTTAATAAATGGGAAAGGATACCTTTATCTTTAGCTTTACTTTGGAATGGTATGATTTTAGGTAATTGACTCATCTGTATCCAAGGGAAGTGTCCTCACTCCTTGAACTGGCCAGTTATGTGTGACTTGCCCACTGGGTGATTGGGATCCTGATGAGACGGCCTGACCATACTGACTGTCTCCAGCCAGGAGGAAATGTTGGTATGATGGGAAGAGCATGGGGCAAGTGCCCAAAGGCCTGCACTGAGGACTAAGCTTGTCATCTGACTGCTGTGTGACCTTGACCGAAACTACTTAACCTCCTTGGGCCTTGATTCTCTCAGAATGAGAGATTGTCTGGATCGTGTGAGCTCAGTCTTAGAGGTTGCCCCACCTCCTTCCTGCCGTGGCCAGCCCCAAACAGCTGGGCGAGCCAAAGGCACAAGAGCTTGGCCTAGTGTGGTTTTTGTTTTGTTTGTTTTACTGTGATTTTTACATTCTTGTAGTTGAACAGGTTTGCCCTAGCTTATTTTATGTAGGAAAACAAAATTCTTGTTTCCTTTCCTAAAACCTGCTGCTATGTAGTTCAGGCCTTGTCAGGTTCTACATGTGTTTGGGTTGATGTGGGCCACCCTCAGAAGTGTGTTCACCGTCGGTTAACTGACATTTTAACATGACTCCTTAGCCTCAGTACTTCTAGAACGCAATCGAAAAAGATTCAGAGTGGATTCCTCATACACTTGATCTGATAATATTAAAGGTGGCCACTTTGTTGCCTTTTTTTACTAGTGAAACCGTTAACTGGCTTTTCCCAATCAGTCCTAAGTGGTCTAAAAGCTGACCTTTTACACTTTCAGCAGCTTAAGAAATGGTCTTAAAAATGATGGAAAATCAGAAACAATGCAGCTATTTAAAAGATCGTTATTTACAGAGAAGCTACTGTATATAATTCCATAATTGAGCTCATTCTGCAGTGTGGTGATGTAATTTTTCTGAGAAAGCAATCAGTAAAACATTTTACATAGTTTTTTCACTGTGATAGATTTCTTAAACATCATAGTATAATGCCAGTGGAGAACTATTTTGTAGAACAAAAGAGATGTCATTTGTAAATACTCTTACTGTTCAGTACAGCTGACAAAATCAACTACGGTCAAAACATTAAATTCATATTTTTACTTATGTTTTACAAACCAAGAAAAAACATTACTAGACTTGCTTTTTAACTTTTATCTATATCATAGATAATATCTATAGAATAGTATATATCCTATCTATAGAATAGTATATATCATGAATTATTGTAGAACTCAATGAACTTTCACAAACTGAACTTAATGGTTGTTTCTTGATTTAATGACCAGTACCCCAGAAGTCTCACTTGTGCCCCCTCTAGTCACCCCACTTCCTTTGACTCCTCTACAGGGTAACTAATACCCTGGTTTCTAACAGCATAAAGTAGCTTTGGCTGATGTGTGTTATACAAATGGAATCATGCAGAATGTATGCTTTTATGTCTGGCTTCTTTCCGTAAACATGTTTGTTAGTTATTCATTTTGATGCATGTAGTAACAGATTATTCTTATTATGTAGTATTTCATTGTGTATACCACAGCTTTTCTATTCATATTAGAACTGGTCTTTTAAAACAGCTTGATATCTTAGAAATAGGTAAACTATTGCTATAATTCTAAATAAAATTATTATTTTTCCTTTGTAGGCATAAAACACGAATGTCAAGCAAATGGGCCAGAAGACCTCAATCGGGCCTGTATTGCTGAAAAGCTAGGTGGATCCTTAATTGTAGCTTTTGAAGGATGCCCTGTGTAGATCATCATTCAGTGCCACAGATCGAAAGCTTCCATGTTTCATGTTATTCTCTTGCTATATAATAAGTAAAGCAAATATATTTAGGCCAGGGTCTCACTGAAGGGGAGCTGTCTTGTCTGCTGTTAGGGTAAACTAAATATTCTATAAACATGTGCAAACAGCCCTAAATAAATCTAAAATCTAAAGTTTTATTGGTGTGAAATTAAATTCTTATTGGCCAAATGCCTATTTTGGTGAGTTAGCTTGTAAAGATTACTAAGCTCATAATTTTTAATAATGAAGATCACAAAACAGTACAAGATCAAATGAAGAGAATTATTTCATCTTTGTTAACCTCAGCAATTATTTTGTTTCTTTAGCTTAGAGAATTGGTCATATCTGGTTATAATTTTGGCCCAAATTCTTTCTTCTTTCTTGAGCTAAACTGAATAATGGAAAATAATTCTCACAACCTGTAATAACACTAATATACTAATTACAGTAAGATTAAGTCAGGTGGTCTTTTAATTCTACCAGATGTGTAATGGAGACTGTCTCAGAATTGTGTACACTTATAATCAGCGCTGATCTTGCAAAGCACTATTTCAAGCACGTAGTTGGAATACAGGAAGCAACTTCCTACATCTGGGGTGAACTCTCCACTTACTAGTTGGGAGACTGTCCTGAGAGTGACCTTGCATCTTGCGAATTATGGTGTGTCCTCAGAAGAATGTGCAATATCTTGTAACAACCAATTATAATGCAAATTAGGGCTCCATTGTAATATGTTTTGTTCATGAAAATGATGAAATGGAATATTGATAAGCTGGGACACTGGTGATATCTGTCTCCTTCAGAACTTGTTGCTTCTGGTACATAAGGTATGGAAGAACATTAGATATATGTTTATTCTGGGGCCTGGGACAACTTCTTAATCTCCTGGAGCAGTTTGTCAACTGTGTGTGAAATTGGGAGCAGGTATGACAAGTGATGACACACACAGGAAAGCCACTACCTGATGACACTTGGAAGTGATTGTCTTTAACATCACAGGCATAACACTTTGAACAATATAGAGATGCACAAACAGTTGAACTTAGAAGTAGCTGTATTGGCTTTATGTAATAAATGAAGCATTTTTAACTTATCTCTTGTGTAATTATTCACATTTGAATTGGGGATAAAGGGGTTTGTATTCCATATATATGGGGCAAGCAAGTTGTGGAGGTTTGGGTATTTCAGTCAATTAGAGTTAAGGTCACAGCTCCCTCTTATTGAATGAAAAAGTTGGTGTAAAAGTTGGGAATCTGTCTTATTCCAAATGTTTATCCAAATACCAGGCTTTTATCACCTGTGATATATTTGGGAGGCATAAAAAGGGGCTTTAATCAAAACATTTCTTTCAAAATTGTGTAGAAAATAGTGCTTGCTGGCTACTGGTTTACTGATAAGCTGCTTGTCATTCTTTCATTCTGAATTTCTTGTTTTGCTATCTGCAGTGCTTCTAATGACTGTATATTAATTAACAGGCCTCCTGAGAGGCATTAGAGGCCCAAAGCTACCCGACTCAAGAATCAGCCAGGTAGGTAGATCCAGGTATTTGGTCAAGGAGTTTTAGAAGAAAGTCTTTTTTCTGTGGTTTCAGCTTGTGATATGTGGCACAACTTGTTTAACCACCATTCCATGCAGGTGTGCATCTGTTGGGAGGCGGGGGGAAATGCATGCTATGGGAAGGTTTTAAGCAGTGTCAGGAATGTAATATAATGTGAACATCTCCCAACACGTGACTCCTACTCCAGAAATTGGGAAGATGTTAATAGTTACTTCTATTGGGTCCGAAAAGTCATGATGCATTTTTGTAATGAAAAACAGAAAAAATACGTCATGACTTTTCCGACAATCCAATACCTCTGCCTAGGGGAACTTTTGAGAGAGTCTTACTGGATTCCTGAGAGTGGGGCCCAAGAATCCTGCTATCAAACTCCAAGTAATTCTGATGCAGTTATAGTTTGTGACCTCTGCTAACATTGGTTATTAATAAAACTGCAGGTATACTCTGTTTTCAGCAAACACATTTATGTTTTTACAAGTGTTAATACAAACACAAAAATGTGTTTGTGGAAAGCTGATTTAGACTTCACATAATGAAGTATCCTTTACCTTGCCTGAGAAGCAGATAAAGCCACTGCTAATAGAAATTCAGAACTCGGCTGTGAAGTTTATTTCAGAGAATATTAATCAGAGAAAAACAGTGAACATAGTGACTCGAATAATAGAATTAGGCTCAGTCGAGTGGTTTCCTTTCTGCAGAACTGCCCAGAGTGTTGGCTGGTCCACACACAGGAAGTGCTACTTCTGTTTCTTGACTGGTTTGTTCTTTCTCATGATTTGGGGCATTTCTGAAATATGGTTAAGTCTCCAGGCTGAGCTCCAGCTGAGGTTGCAGCTGGAAGAAGGGCCATTAATTGCATTGTGGCTGGGAGAGGGGAACTTCCAGGAGCCAGGTTTTCGGTGGAAGGTGGTGTACCTTGAGCTATTTGGGCTCTGCCCAGTCCCAGAACAGTGCCCCTAGTAGCTAGCCCAGACAGGTCAAGTAACTTGCCTACGTCACACTACTCATGAGCAACAGAAATCGGGATAACTCAGGTCTCTTGTTTTCTGGTCCGAAGTTCTTCCCCTTGCATCGCTGGAGAGTTTTTCATTTCTAATACCTGGAATTCTAAGGCTAGAGCTTATTCAGTGCTAGGGATAAAACTTGAACTGGGAAGATAAACAGTTCCTCTGGGCTTTGAATCCTGTTAGACCGAAACCTGAAGGAGCCTCAGAGAGAAGGCATTTGTGGAGGCTGTCCGGTGGTTGCTAAAATCTTCAGAACTTCCCAGCTCTGCAGTTGGTGGTCTAAGATGAGCAGTAGTGCTGTGCCCAGGCCGTGGCCTCTGAAGCCAGGCCTTAGGACAGCAGTACTTCCTGCTAGGCCAACCAGTGCCTTGTAGTTGACAAGTGCTCCAACGCAGCCTGGGAGATTCCTGCCTCCACATGGAACTTCCTAACAAGTGACTACAAAAGCCAGTGCTCCAGTGCTGCAGGGTTGCCACAACACTTGCAGGCCAGGGAGCTGAGTGGCCAGGCGTGAGCTAGGCTCCTGGGTGTCTTCCATGTTGAGGGACGCCTTGTGCTGGAAATCTGCAGCAGGCAGCTGCCTCCGGTACCTTCCTGAATAGCCCTTTCCTCCTTCCCCAGCCTGATGATGGAGCCAGGAGCAGCCTTGGGGACAAGGCCAGGCTGAGGCAAGGCTTGGCAGGCTGCCTGGCAAACTCGGGCTCCCTCTCCTGGCTCAGGAGATGCCACTGCTAAGCCTCAGGGCTGATCAGCCCTTGCTGGGCAGGTGAGGAAGCGGCCTGATGATGGACCCTTAAAGCTTGAGCTGCAGGTGGCCTCCAGTGTAGCATTTGCCTGAGTCCCGTAGGGCCCCACGCCCTGTACTCTGTCTTATCTCCTCCCTCCAGGTAGACACTATGCCCCTACCAGGTGGTCTGAGGAGGGAATAGAGCTGTAGCCAGAAACCAGGGAGTAGTCTTACCCACAGGTAGCAGTTTTGTACCCCCAGGGTTTCTTGTGCCTTTCTTTCCCTGAGGTCCTCCCATTCCTGTGCCTTCAGAGGGCATCTGCCCAGTCTAGGGGTTGTCAATTCTGCAGTCAGTGAGGTGGGGTGGAGAGTTTATTGTCAAGGCAGGCTCCCAGGCCCATAGTGGCAATTCTGATGCAAGGCACAGTTCTGGCCTGTTTACCACAAGTAAACACCAAGGTCCCAAACCAGACCTTGCATTAAGGCCATTGTGTAGGAGGGCGAGTTGTGTCCCCAGAGGGCCCGTCCTCCAGCCTTAAGCCCTGGTTCCTGAGGAACAAGGCACACAGAAAGTGGATTGTGAGGGGCCACCGGTTCATGGGGCTCAGTGGCCACTGCTCAGGGAGTCTTAACACTCCAGAATAAAACCCTTCCTCCAAAGAACCCCCCAGGCTGCCTGATGCACTGCCAGGCATTAGAGTGGGTTTGAAACCTGCTTGCCTTTGACCAGGTGAACTCTCTTCTCTTTATGGGGCTTCTTTGCAAAATGGAGAGGTTCACCTCCCAGTGGGGGCTGAGAGTCACGTGAGAACCAGGCAGAGGGCTGGACACATGGCCGGAGGCAATGTTCAGTCATTTCCTCCTGCTCAGTCTCTTGGCCAGGAACCTTGACATCCATGTCCCAAGTCCCATGGGTTCCCTCTCCACTTCAGCCCCCTCCAGAGAGTTCTAGAACAGGTACGATGGTCTTCCCTTGCTTATAATAAAAACGTCAGTGGCACCTACTGCCTTACCTGTCCAGACCCCTTAACCTTTATAACCTGGCCCACAGTGCCTTCATAGCCTCCCTTCTGTCCCCTCAGCCTTGACCCTTCCCTTGCCAACAAATGCCTCCTGTGACAGTGAACTCCAGCGAAAGCTCACTTCCCAGAATTTCCAGCACCCTGATCCCAGGATAGTTGCAACACACAAGTGCTACACAGCATGCTGAGGTGGCCCACAGACCAGGTCCTCCATGAAAGCCAGGACCAGGACTTGGTTGTGCAGACTGAGGTCAGCACAGTGCGGCCCCTGGCAGATGTTTGATGTGTGGGGGCTGAAGGCAGCTAAAGAACACATATGTATAATACTTCCAACGTATTGAGGTTCCCATGACAACCACTAGAGGTGTCAAACCTACCACCTAAAGGATGCAAGAGATGCAGAGGCCCCAAAGCAGGTGGTAGAGACCCCAACTCTTGGGCTGCCTTTCCCTGGGAGCACCACCCTTCCCTCTAGCTGGACCTGCTGTGAAAGTGCTCAGAATTCAGGCAAGTTCAGCATATGTGACACGCCCCCCACCTCCCAGGATTCTGAGGCTTGGGAGGGAGATGGAAGTGGGGTAATGCTTGGTCCAGGCAGCCCTTGACAGGGCTGGTTGTCTGCCCGCAAGACCCTGGGCTGCTCAGACTCACCTTCCATTCCCGGGGTGTTTCAACCCCTCCTGTGACTCAGCCTCTAAATCCATTTTGCTTAAGGTCCAGGGTTCCTACTTATGAAGTCCCTCACATACCTCTTGGCCCAAGATTCTCCTGGACCACGCTCTTAGGCCACGAAGGACAGACACAGTGGGTCTGAGGATCACAAGAAGTTTCAACTGGCTGCTCCAGGCCTGGACTGCCCCTCCTGAGGCAGGGGTGTTTATCAGAGCCTCAGCCAGGACAGACCCACCTTACGCACGGAGCCCATCCCCCACAGCCCTGCTCACATAACCTCGGTTCCTCAAGGGTGGGAACCACAGTCAGTGCATCTGGCCACCAGGCATCCCAGGCCCTGCTCATCCTGCCTGGTGGGCACTGCGCCCTGGGTGGCATGATGGGGAAAAGTGCTGGGGACCATGAAGCAAAGGGTTTCATTCCCATTCCGGGCAGAGATCCTGATCTCAACTTCAGAGAAACCAAGAGCCACACTTGCTCTCTCCTGAGGGCCTAGGAGCCAGTGGGGGAGCCCCAGCAGAAGAGCAGACGAAACTGCAGTACCGGGCGACAATGTTGGTTTTAATGGCATTAACATCCAGGAAGTCACATCAGTTCTGGTTGGCAACTTCTTCCAGGGGTGAGTGGCTGCGGCCTCGCTGGGCTGGGCAGGGCCCCTCCAGTCTGTGCCACAGCCTTTGAGACTCACCACCTGGTCCGCCCGCCTCCCAGCCCCCACCCCACTGAAAGAAAACAATTGCACTGATTGACATACAGATAGCCAGAGGTCCCGGCCTCCCCAGTACACACTCCAGGGTCTGTCACACAGCTGATAAGGGCTTTGGCGTCTGCTCGGCGGTGGTCCAGCGCTGGTCTTGGGGAATAGTGTTTATCGAATGTGACAGAGGTTCTTTTACACACTGGGGGTCTGGAAGGTCTAGTTCTGTGGTTCTAAGAGACTTGTCTCTAATGGCTTCTTTCAGAGCCACTGGAGTTGGGCCTGGATTACGCTGTGTTGGTTTGTTTATTTGTAAGGAATGTATAAGGCATTTTGGTAGGTTGAACAGTAACTTCTTTTTTCGCAGAGAAGACTCAGACAGACGTGCCCTCCTTTGAGCTGCTACTGTCTTCCTGCAAACAGAGGGCAGAGGGAGAGAGATGTTGGGGCCAAGGAGCCAAGGGGAGCACTCACCTCAACTCCTAGGGGCCTCTGCTCTCCCCTGGAGTAACACCCCACTCCACTCCAAGCCCTTCAGAGAACACCCAGCATTGTCTAGAGAACCAGAGCTGATTCTTGGGGCTGGACGAGATGTCTGAGGGTTGGCGGGAGCTGAGGGCCCTGAGTTTGGGTGAGGACCCTCGTCTCAGAGGCTGCAGAGTGAGGACCTTGGGTCAGCAGTGGGGGGCCAGAGATGTGCTTCCCACCAAGGGGAGCCACGGAGGGGTGGGTGCTGCATGTCCTGATGTTGCCTTCAGAAGTCTGTCCCCAATACCTCCTGCCCCCAGGTCTGCGTCTCCTATTTGTTCTGCTTCTCAGGAGTCCTGAGGTCCCAGCACCAAGCCCTCGCCAGCGGCCCTGCATGGGCAGGACACTCACCGTTTTGTCCAGCTGCTCCTGCAACTTCTTCACTGTGTCTTTCTCCTTTGCCAGCTGCTCCTGGGTCTTCTTCAAAAGCTCCTGTAATCTGGTGGCAGCACGTCCCAGGTCACTCGTTAACTTCTTTTCCTTTTCTAGCCTCTCCTGTGGGTAAGAGGGTTAAAGGAGATCAGCCTTCACATGCCACACATCAGGAAGGCCACCTGGCTATGCCCATGGGGCCCGACACCTCGGAACTGGGAGCCCTTTGAGGGCAGGACAATGCTGTCTTCTGGTTACCCAGAGACAGGAAGTGACGACTGGGAGCAAACAGCTGTTACAGTTAGGCCAGTATCCTGTCTACCAGCGCCGCCAGTGAGCTTCCTGTGACACTGGGGATGTTCTAATGTGCACTGTTCAGCACAGCAGCCAGTGGACACACATGGTCACTACTGAGTACTTGCAATATGGCCACTGTGACTGAGGAACTGAGCTTTTTAAATTTAAATAGCTACATTGACTAGTGGCGCCATATATGATACTGGAGGTTTAGGGGCTCCCCTCCCCCCCACACTGACCATCAAATTAGGCTGGACCCTGCTCAAGGGGCCACAGGATGGTTCCGCTCCCATTCCTGCCACAGGTGGAAGCCAGTGCTGAGAGCTGGCCCCCCACTCAAGCCTCAGAGCAGAGCCCACCCTTCTACCTTAAGCTGCACAACCACCCCTGCTTCTGCAGACTCGAGGGGGTTGACGCGAAGCTTCTCCAGCTCCTCCTGTAGCCGACATGCCGCATTCTGAGCCTTGGCAGAAAAGGGGAGGTGGGGTCAGAGCATGGGGTCCGGGTGAGAAGCCTCACAAACCCAGCTAGCGCACTTGGGGATAGGAGAGGGCACCCAGCATCATGGGACAACAGTTCAAGCCTGTGGACAGGAGACAGGTGACCGACTATATAGCAACACCCCCTCGGGAGGGACACTCCAGACCCATGCCCACCTGCCTGGGCCTAGGCCACACCCTCCCCCATCCCTGCCACAGCTGATGGGTGCTCAGGGCCTCCAGGGCAGAGCCTCACCTCCTCAAACTCAGCCGTGAGCTTCTGCCGCTGCATCTGCTCGTCCTCCAGGATGGCTTCCGTCTGCTCCAACTGCGTTTTCAGCTGCATGGAAACACCGCAAACATGCTTTGGGAACCTGCTGAAGGACCCTCTTGGGAGCCAAGGGCTCCTAGGCAGGCTGAGACCTGGGGTGGGGGTGGGGGTGGGGGTGGGGGTCTGGCATCTAGCTGCTTCTAGCGCTCCCACCTGCCCCTGCCTCGCCACCAGCCAGCCCACCGAGTTGTTTCCAAAGCTCCCGCTTTGGGGAGACGGTGCTTCAGCCCCCGGGTACAAAAGCTGGTGTGGCGGAAGAGAGATGTTGATGGGACTTCTGCTGACCTCAGGTGCCTTTAATGACACCTACAGGACAAGGATGCCTCAAAGCCACTGCACAAGCACCACCCCACAGTGGTATCCCCACTCAACCGCCACTCCACTGCTACTCTGGTGACAGACCCCTTTCTCCTGGTTAGGGCTCTCAGCAGCAGTTACTTATGGTTAAAAGTCTGGAGAGCAAACACTCTGCCAGTGACATCCTAGCCAGGGCCACAGTGGGAGATCAGACCCCTGACTGCAATCCTGGTGACCCTGCTGCCCTCTTCCAGTCCCTCCCACGCACGTTGTTAGGACTGAGCCTCCAACACCTCCCAGTCTGGCCACCTTCTGCCCTTTGCTCTGCTCTGTGGCTTCCTCAGAATGTAATGACCCCTAACTCGGCATCTGGTGGGGAGGGTGGGAAGTGGAGGCTGCAAGTAACGGGTGTTTAGCCAGAACAGAGGACTGTCATCCCTGAGCTCCAACTGGGGTGGAGAGGGCCCAAGGGCGGTTAGTGACAGGTATCTGGGGACTGGCTCACCGCCCTAACCTCGACAGGGTCCTGCTCTGCTGGGGGGACCTCTGGGGGGGCAGCCGGAGACCCAGCTACATCACCATCCTCTACGTGGCTCTTCATCTCACTCAACTGCTGCCTGACCTGAAACAGGGAGGGGTGGGTTTGTGCAAATACCCAGCCGGACGCACGCCCACCTTGCACACGCACACAGACTCCATTGGAGGGACCTCAGATGCTCCCAACAGCCAAAGCCCATACAGGGGACCTGGTTTGGTAACTGCAGGTTCACTGGGGCAGGGGAGCAAATGCCACAGCCCCGCACCTGGGCCAAACAGAGGCCCATAAGCCAATGAGGAGCCCAGGCTGGCCTGACCCATGTGCTCTGCTCCAAGGCCAGTCAGCACGAAGCCCTCCCCAGAAGCAAGGTGACCCTGAAGGACACAGTGCACACAGAGCTAAGGAATCCAAAGGGAAGCAGCAGCAAACAGGCTCAGCACGGACAATACTGCCTACGTCCCGAATTCCTTCTTCTAGATGTAGTCCACTGTTCAGAGCCCTTTATGGGGTCTAGAAAAAATTACGAGGTGACACTCTTACCCAACAAGGTCCCCCCATCCTGAGCTCCGCTGCTGGGGGCAGATGACACATCTGGTGATCCCCAAGCCTCCAGACTATTGAGCCTCAAATATGAAGAGGCAGCAGGGTCACCCATGAAGCTCGGGTAAAAAGTTCTAGTCGGGGGATCTGGGTAGACTATTCGCACAAGCTCCCAGGGGATGGGGGTGGTCTTAGGCCCCATCCAAGAGGTGCTGCAAAAACCGAACTTTGCAGGCCAATGATGAGAGACTCAGGGGAGCATTCTCCACACATGCCCCCAGCCTGTGCAGTGCCCCTGGGGCCTGTCACCTAGGCCAGGCCTTGGTGAATGGCCTTCCGGCTCAGGTGGTGACTCAGCATGGACGGCACCTCCCCCCTCTGGTGCAATGGTCCCAGGTAAGGCCCCTTGGGAGTCAGGAGCGTGTGTGCCATGCAGGCAGCTGCTTGCAGCTCAGCAGATGCTGCTGTGGGAAGGGCAGCCCATGCACCAGACCTTCGGTCTCCTCACAGGAAACCAGACACATTCATTTGTGTTCAAAATCTCCCAAAATCTAAATGGTAACAACCAAGTCAAGATTTTAAAAAGACCGTGCAGATCAAGCAGGACATGTCTGTAGCCCTGCAGGCTACTGCCTGCAGCCCCAGCCCTGGAGCTAATACTGGGACTGGTGCGGCCCCAGCTCTGTAAGGCTGGGCTGACCCTGCCAAGGAGTGGGTACTGTGATCAGACACCAAGACTGAAAACGGGAAGGACCCCAAGGCCACCTGCACAATAGGAAGCTCTGCAAGTCTGCTTCTACTGCCAGGCGTAGAGCAGGCCTCCATCCCCACCCACAGGTGGGACTGAACTAGTCTCAGCCACCTTAGTGAGAAAAGGCCTGAGTCCCACAGAGGGCAAGGCCCATGCCGACAGCCACGGGGCAGAGAGCAGCCAGGCCCAGAGAGGTGACACTGGGCTCACAGGAGTCAGGCCACCTTGAGTTTTCAGCGCTGTGGCCAAGGGACAATTTATACCAGGAGAGATGGGAGGTGGGGTCGGAGCACATTAGTCCTGGCAGCCACAGGCCCAGCTTGGAGTTTTGAGCAAATGTGCAAGGAACCCCGTCAGCATAGCCCAAGCAAAGTCTGGCCCAAATATCAAATTGGTACACATGGCCCTGTCACACTGCGTTACCTTTGACAGGATGCAAAAGCACAACTGGGCACAAATCTCACACACACACATACACCCATTGTCACACACTTCCACCCCACCCCATTCCATGGTCACTCACCAGGGAGAGCTCATTGCTCTGTTTTTGGGCTTCGCTCTTGGCTGCATCCAGCTGAGACTGAGATTCTAATAAAAGTTGCCTCAACTTGGGGAGAAAACAGACCCAGATGATGGGGGAAGGAGAGAGAAGAGAAAATCAGCTCCTGTGAGCACCTAAACACACAATCTAAGACGTCCACGTAACCCAACCCCTTGAGAACACTGTGGGGTAGAGCAGCTGCACGGGCTCCCAGGCCTCTGGCAGCTCCTCTTTCTTTTTCGAAGACCAGAAGGCTGACATTCCCTGCACACTTCGTCTGAGTACTTTGCAAATGTTTATGGATTACCTCGCAAATTAAGGCCAAAAGTTTCAGATCAAACCAGAATTGGGGGTGCCAGGTTTGTGCTTTCTGCTTCCAAATTCAGAAAAGAGTATCAGATTTAAATCCATTCACCACAGAAACAGTGTCACCAAGCCAGGTGGAGAACTCTTTTGCTGCAAGGCTGACCTGGCTTCACCCCTGACCTGTTGGCTGGGCTGCCTTTTGGGAATCTGCCCCATGATACCTCCTCAGGATGGCTAGCCCAAGGCCTCAGGCAAAAGCCTGAGAATTGGGACTTTGAGCTCATGTTAACAAGAGCTGCTAAGGAGGACCAACTCTGGGCAGAGACCCTGCTGGGAGACTCACCCCTGCCACCTCTTTGGCATAGCTCTGGCACTCGGCGCTGGCGGCGGCCATGTGCTTCTCCAGTTCTGCTTCCAAATGCGAGGTGTGTTCCCTCACCTGGACATGCACATACACGTGTCAGAGGCCTTGAGTTGGCCATCAGGGAACAGGGCAATGAGGCAACAAGTGTGGCTGGCCCTGGGATAAGGGCTAAGAGGAGGTCTCATGGCCTGTCAGCTGCTGGGCCAGCCAAGTCCAGGCAGAAACAAGTCCATAGCAACAGAGTCCCTTACGGAAAACGGTACCTGAACTTCGGCACTCCTGGGTCCTGACGTGTTCTCAGACCTCAGGAGTCAGGAGAGGAGAGCTTTTAGACTTACTTGCTAGGTGAATACCAGGAGTACCTCCTCTAAGGCCAAGGCTGACTGTGTGTCTGCAGAGGGCAGGAGGGCTACCTCACACACCCACCACGATTCCAAAAGTCACTGCAGAAGCCACTGTTTACCAGTGCTGGGTATTCTACACAGGGCCATGCTGTCTCAGGCCACTCAGGTTGTAAATGGCTCTCATTAAGGAAAAGCAGGACTGACGATCTCCTAGCCTCTCTTAAGACATGGGGTCCACGAGGGAAAATAACGTTGCCTCTGTAAGAATGTTTCTCTGTAATAAGGAGAGTAGGTTTTCTGAGCAGAGTCCTCACACATACCTGATCTGAGCTTTCAAGTTCTCCTTTTAGCTTCTCTATAATCTCTTCGAGATGTTTCACTGTGACCTGTGACTACAAAGCAAGGGGAAGGCCCCATGTCAAACACGAGCTTCATCTCAGGAATCCCAGTGAGGCCCACCCGCCCTGAGCATGACCCAGCAGCCTCTCCCTGGAGGCGGGAGGGAGGGGTGTCTCCTTAAGAATCAGCTCTCATTCTGCCATCACCATATAAACACGGCATTTCAAAACCCAGCAAATGTGACTCCCGTCTCCCAAATGATCCCATCAGCTTTCTCCCTGGATTTTAGGGAATTCTAACCCAGCTGTCCGTTTCAAGTTAAGTCTCAATTCCTAGGGAAGGCGAACCTCCTGGGGTGATGTTCCTGTCGCTGGCCCCTGCAGAGGCTCTGAGGGCCCGCACTGTACCTTTTGGAGCTCCTCCTCCGTGGCGCTGACTCTGGCCTTCCAGCCCTGCTCCTCCTCCTCCACGCTCTTCTGCAGGTTCCTGAGCATGCCCTCCTGCGGGGACGGGCACTGAGGCAGGGCCCTCTCCGGGAGGCCCCGCCCCACACAAACACAGCTGTGTCTTCCGGCCCCGTCAGCCCCTCTATGACGACTGCCTGGCTGCCAGCATGGCCCTGCTCTGCACAGTCCTGGAGTACATCACTCTGGCCAGTGTGTGAACCAAGACTGTGGGCCACACAGGGGAATGAGGCCTATGACCCAAATGAGGACGTAGGGACTCGCATCTTGGTTGGGTTTGCCACCAGTGACAGCTTCAGTGGCCCAGTTCAAGTAGCACAGGATGGAGTTGGTCAGGGTGGGAGGACTGGACCCAGCATTGTTTCTGGAGTCACAGAGAGCGCAGTTTCAAGCTGGCCATCAGCCAGACGTTCATGTTTTCCTTGCATTTCCCAGACTATTCCTTATTATGACCAAGTCTCTCCATCCCCAAGAGCAGCCCCAAACTTTTAATTCAGCCCTCTCCTAAGCATAGAATCAGTGCAAATCAGAGCACCTTATTCATTCAGCCAATGAAATGCCCCAAGTGGGGCAGTGACTTGCCCGAGGTCTCACAGAACCAGAGTCTGAACCAAGGGCTCTTTTCAGGGTGGCCAGTGGGCTTTTCCATACCACCACCTGCCTCCCGCCCTACAGGCCCCAAAAGCTCTCTTTCCTGGCAGCCTCCTGAGGGACACCCAGCCAAGAGCCTGGCCAGCGGCCCCAGTTCTCGCGCCTTACCGTCTCTGCCAGGATGGTGCGGTACTGGTCACACTCAGCCTGCAGGGTGCTCTGGGTCTCCTCCGCCTCCCTTAGCTTGGAGGCCAGGTCCTAAGGGCAAAGGGCGGGACAGGGGTCTGCTTAGCCAAGCACAAAGGTTTCTCTGGCTGCAGAATGAAATGACTCTGGACACCTCCCTTCCTGGGGACTGGACAGCAAGTGGCAGCCCTCCTCCCCGCCCCAGCCCACGAGGGCGAGTGTGTGTGCCATGCTTACTGAGGAGGGCTCCATGTTTCCTGGCAGCTGCTTCAGCAGTTCTGGGCCTTTCTTTTTCAGTTCCTGGAGCCACTCGTCGTAATTCTGCAACAAAAACATGAAAGTGGAGCCCAGTGACATTCCCAATTAACAGCGGGGTCCCAGGGAGCCACCGCCCCTACCTTGTGGGTCCCATCGGAAAGTGCCGGGAGCAGAGCCAGCAGGGCCTCCTTGGTCTGTGCCTCAGTCAGGCTGAGCTGCTTTTCTGATTCCTCCTGTGGGGTGAGGGCAGTGTTGAGGTGTGGAGGTTTAGGGCAAACCCCAGGGAATGTACATGGAGATGCAGGAATAGCCACCCCAAGAAAGGGAGGGACAAGGGTCCAAGGAGAAGATGGGTGACTCTGTGGGGATGATTGTGGGGAAGGGTGTTTAACCTCAGTGGCCGCTTCTAACCACCCGGCCAATGCTGGGTCAATTTTAAACAGACTCAGCTCTAATGAAGAGGGATAGATAGCAGGCCCCACGTGGCAGGATCAAGTTCATCTAACACCTTCCAGCAGGTACTCAGGCTCACTCAGTACTCTATTTCCAAGCTCTCTCTGTGTGCGTGTGCGTGTGCGTGTGTGTGCGTGTGCGCATGTGCTGGAAGGGGCGGGGGAGGGCGGGTGGGGTCTAAGCTGCTGTGGGGGCCTGGTAGGAGGCAAAGAATAGGTGCCACCAGAGGTACTCCCAGCAGCCAGCAGAGTTAGGAGCTACTACTGGCTTGGATTGGCCGGACCCAGCAATCCTGGAGGGAGAGAGTATCAATACTCCCACTTTGCAGAGCAGAAACCAACCCAGCAGAGATAAGATTCGGTCAGGGTCACACCACTCCCAAAGTAAGACTCCATGCGGCAGCCCTGCTGTGCTGGGCCAGCACCCCCATCCATCCTCCCTGAGGCTCCCACTTAAAGCATGAAGAAGGGACGGAAGAAGGACCAAAGGAACTATAAAGCAAATCCTAGGAAAGCAGTGTCCCCTGGGGACAGGTCACAACCCTCCACCACACCCTGGGCAGTGGCTGCAGATTTCTGGGTAAGAGTCCTCCTCTAAGAACCTGTCCCCGGTAGGCTGAACCTACTGTCAGCCCTGCCACAACCTCAGCACGGTCTGAGACCGAGCTTGAACCCCAGGGGTGGCACTAGAACTACTACTGAGTTAGAGCAGGAGTGGTGTTCTGGAACATGCAAATGGAGGACTCCTGACAAATGGACGCCCTGCCTGACCACAGCACCCACATGGTCTGGACTCGTCTGAGAAAAGGATCCTTCTTGGCTCGCCTAGTGATTTGCAGACAACGCCTATTGGCCTGCTATGGACCCCTAACCTTGTGACCTCCAATCGTGGGAGTCAGAGGTCAGGCCCAGAGGACTTGGAGGCCAGCTCCTGTCTTTATCTGGCTGCATGACCACGAGCAAGTCAAGTGACATCTCTGGTCACAAATCCTGCATTTGCCACAGAAAGGCCAGACAGGCTCCCAGGTCTCCTCTGGGGTGTAAGTACAGCTGCCACAACTGGACCGAGGCCAGCCCTCCACCTCCAGCCCTCAGGACCCCATTTTATACAACCCTTGGGCTTCCTGGAAAGCTCATGCAAGTCACTGCAAAGCTCTCGATAATAAGAAGGACATTCCTTTTGCATCAAGGCTGCGAGTGGAGGGCTGGCTCCCCAGGGATTTCATCAGGAATGGAAATGGGTGGCAAAGCAGGTGGGCAAGGCCTCAACTTGCTGTTGCCGCAGGTCACACCCCCAGCCACAGCTCCCAGCCCAGGGCTCCAGAGGTGACATGGGGGTCCCAGACACAAAGATGCCCATACTCTCCTCCACCTGGGCTACATGGAGCATGGGATTAATGTGGGCTTCAGGGCCTGAGTGATGCTAAAGATGCCCTCCTACCCATGACTGTATAGATCATAACATGACTGTATAGATCATAAAACCTACTGGGCCATGATTTCAGAGGGCCTGAGAAAGCAGCAGGATCAAAATACTATCAGGATTTCGAAGATAGCCCAATGTTGAGCTCACTCACAGGTGGTGCAGTCAGGTGTGCTGAAGGCCTGACAGCCTCTGTCTCTGCCCGCTGATGGCAAACGGCCCCGCTAAGAAAAAGCAATCCTTTCATCTTTGGGAGAAATGAAGGAATGGATGGAGCGAGAAGGAAGGGAGGAGGAAGATGCAGGAGCTGGGTCACTGTGTGTGCTAGCCTCTCAAAGGGGTCCTGGTGTGGATTTCTGAGATGCTCCGGGGCCGAGGCTACGTGCACGCAGTTTATGTGCTTTGTGTTTTGCTAAACTACGCAGGTGCTGCTGATAGTCTTGACTAGCAGATGAGTCTGAGGATTGGACTCTGACCTTGGCCTGGGTCAGGGAGTGCAGCTTCTCCTCGAAGCCTCTCTCAGCTGAGGTCAGTGCCTCCATCGCCTTCCAGTTCTTCTCTCGGAGGTCCTGCAGGGGGAGACATGGAAAAGGTCAGCAGCCAAACGGGGTAACCGCTGAAATATCACCCATGAGCTGCCTCAGCCGGTCTCAGCAGGGCACTACTTCTCCAACCCCAATCTGGACCCCACAGGAGGACTTGCAAAGTGACAGAATGTTCTTTCTCTTGGCCCACGTCCACTGGGCTTCTCTCAGGTAGCATTAACACAAGGCCAATGTGTCATAGCCCACTATGGAGTGGCCATGGCATGAGAGGATAAGGAGGCTAAGCATCCTTTCAGGAGGACTCTACTTTGGAGGACAGAGGGTTGGCCTGGCTCCTAAGAGAGATGAGGCTCCTGCCACCAAACAGCAAACACTGACCCCTGGGCTGGCTCTATACAGGTGGGGCCTCATCTGGGGAGAGCAGATAGGGTGGCCTGAAAGCCCAGGCTATGAAGGGTGATGGGCAGGCAGCTCGGTGGGGAGGAAAAAGACAAGGTTCCTTTGCACCTTCCAGAGGACAGCAACTTTCACATCCTCGTCTCCTGCCGCTGGACTCCCTACTCCAAGGTGACCATGTGACCCTGGGTGGGCCAATCAGCACATTCTGTCTCCATCACGGGGGCTCCATTTTGGAGCATGTGATCCAAGCTGATCCAATGGGAGTCTGCCCTAGGACTTTGGATGGACCCAAGGGACAGAGAGAACCCCACAAGCCCCAGAAGGAAAATGGACTTTCAGCAACTGGGCCCCTTCCTGACTAGTCCAGGTGGCCTCACCCCTCCTCAGCGGCCTGCAACCCCGCCATGTACATGGACGCTCAACACTCACATTGTTCTTCACTTTCTGCTGCTCAACCGCCTCCTTGAGCTCAGTGGTCTCCTTCTCCAGACACCGAACCTGGGACTCCAGCTGCTTGAGGCTGAAGGGAGGTAGCAGGGTCACTGCCGAGCTTGGAGGGCCCGCAGCCCCAGTCTTGTCTTGGGCGGGTCCCTTCCTCTGCCCAGGCGCCCACCCTAGCCAGGAGCACCTCCCACTCTGCTGACCACCTCACAGGGCACAAGCTTTCAGGGAAGCCCAAGCAGCCTCCCTGGCCTCTCCTCCTACTTATCCTGAGGGTGCAGATCCCAGAGGCCAGCAGAGCCCACGTGGTAACACTGGCCACAGTGGCCAGTGCAGGGATGGGCCCCGACAGTCAGGTTTTCAGGAGGCTTTCTCCTCTAGTGAACAAAGCCCACTGTCTGGTTGTGAGGCTCCTGCTCAACCTGGTCCTGCTGTGTCCCCAGAACGTGTCAGCTGGCCTTTCCCTGTGGCCACACCTGGCCTTCAAAAGACATGGGCTGGGCCTTCTCAGAGGACACCTGAGGTAAAGACCCATGTTGCACTGTCACCTGCAAACCCATCGAGACTCTGGGTGCCAGTACTCTCGGCAACTCACTGGGTACAGTGGGACCATCCTCTGTCCAAAACCTAACCCTGCTGAGACCCAAGGCTCTTCCCTTCAGTTCTGTGCCTGGGCTCTGAGGAAGCAGTCCCAAGAGGACCCCTAGATGCCACAGGGTTGGCAAGATGTCAGTCCCATCTTTTCATGGTCCTCTCCAGATTCAAGGATCTAGGGCACTTCATTCACTCATCATCCAGAAAGTGAAAGGCTGACGCAGCTAGAACTATACTAGCCATTCTAGGGAACAGGCTTCAAACGGACACTTTGATATGTCACCTTCTGCATTAAGATTTAGGACTGGGAAGGCCCCAAGGACATGTGAAATCTAAAGTCCAGAAGTAATCGTGCTGACTTGAATGAACACAACCTGAGCCACTCGGAAAGTGGGAAAAGAAGCTCCACCAAGGACACTCCTGGCTCAGGGAGGCTGCCACTGCCACCAGATGGGGACATATATATTTGTATTTCTCATTGTGGGCTATGGTCTAAAACTCTGAAAACCACCATTCTAATGCACATTAGGACTAAACAAAACAATATTAGCATGGGCCAAGCATGCTGGTTGTCCCAGCCACCCCATCTGGGAATGGACTTCCACTGTGTACGGCCTCATATTTTTATTCTACATACAGTTTGTATCTGGCCTTGAAGACAGCTGTTGACTTCTTGGATGTTGGGTTTCATGCCCACAGAACCTTGACCCCACCCTCAAAGCTCTGATGGGACCCCTCACAGCTGTTCCCTCCAGCCTTTGATTTACGCAACAGCCTGCCTCCAGCAGACTACCTCAAGAGGGTCCCCAAAATACAAGGCCCTGAAGAAGATTCAGCAGGCCAGTGACAAGGACATGCTGACAACCACCCCCTTGGTGGCTGCTACGTGAGTTTCAGAATATCTGGGGCTGATCACTCAATGCCATCCTGGAACAGGATGAACTGGCCTAGACACAACTTTCTGATAAATTGGGAAAGAAATAAACCAGTTTCTGTCAAACACATCTGCATGGTGCCAAAAATTGGAATCAACCCTATTTGCACCATGACTGAAGTACCCTAGTAATTTGCTGTGTGGCCCAAGAATCTAACCTTAAACTACAAAAGCAAAAACCTAAACAAACACATCCTCTCTACCCCCACAAATACCATGAGAAACAAAGTTTGCCCAAGCCTTCTGGAAAACGTACTGGAAAAGGAATATGGAGTGGGTATGATATTGGGACCAACAAGGCATTTGGGGCCCTGTGGGTGACTGGCTTCCTTCCATGGGCCCCAAACCCCAGAGCCTGAGGCCAGGGAATATGGCCCATGAACTGGGGAGACACAGGAGATGACTGACTAGCAGCAGCAGCCAGAACAAGGGAACCTTGTTGGCTGATGGCTGAGGGCACATCTGACCATTTGCACAGGGTCACCCTCCATGGCTCACCCCCACATGGTTGCCCTGTGGACACCCAGCCACAGCAGCCAGGACCCACCTCTTGAGCCCATGGGCACCTGCTTAGGGACACACACCCAAGAGGTGACAGTCCCAAGGACTCAAGCCCCCGAACTTGAACCACCTCACCCAGATGTCAGCTCCGGCCTTTGCAACAGTAAACAGTCCCTGAGCACTGCCTGGCACTGGGCTGCCAACATGGAAGGAAACAAGGTCTACCAGCAGTGAAGTTGCCTCACAGACAACACTGCAACTTGGTCAACTCTGAACTCCACCAGTGTCCCACATCTGTGCAAAAAGCCGGGACCAGCTCCCAGGTTCTCCATTCTGGGTGCGCAAGCATTCGTCCTATTTATGACCTCAGTCCCTAAAGTCCCTCATCTGTAGACAAGGAGGACTCCCAACAAGCTAGTCCTTTCCCACTGAGACACGGATGGATGGGTGGAGGCAGGAAGCAGAAGGTTCGTGCCTCCTGCTGAGGCTACCTGCCACTCTCTACACAGATGAGTCTTGCTCCAGAGGCGGTTTTGCAAGGAGCGATTTGCAAGGCTGTATTCTTTGCTACCCACACATGTACCCTGTCCTCAAAGTCAATGGAGGGACAGGGGAAAGGCAGCTCTCTGAAAGGAGCTCTTCCCAGGGGAGCCATGTGCCCTACAGAAGCCCCAACTCCCAGGGTCCTGAGCCACCCTGCGCTGAGCTGCAGCCCTTCACCCCAACTTACCGCGCCTGCTGCTGGTCGGCCTCTGCTTGGCTGGCCTGAAATGAGAGACAAAGCTCCTTGGTTACCATGCAACTCACCTCGTTTGGCAGCTAGTCAGGGCAGGGTCCATTCCCTCTGATCCTTCTACCCGGGGGTCGGGACTCGATGGCATTCTCCCACCCCTTCCTTCAGCCCCCGGGAGGAGGTGCCGGCTAACCTGGGTATCCTGAGCGCCCTGGGCCTGGCCTGCCTCCAGCAGGGCCTCGATGGAGCAGATTCTCTCTGTGAGCTGCGAGTTCTCTGCCCTGGACTCCTCGAGCTGCCCGTGGAGACCACTCAGCTCTTCACACTGGCTCTTCAACTTCGCCTCAGAGGACTGTAATTTGCTGTGCAGCTCTGTGCCAGAGAGGAGCTAGAGCAGGTCAGGGGCAGGAAACACCCACGACAGACCCCCCACCGGCCCTGCAGCACACGAGCACCCAGGACTCCGTCCCCTGCCTCCTCTTTGTGCCTGGGGGTTTAAGACATACTTCTGACCACGGGGGCATCTTATTAGCTATTGGAGAAAGTCACACCCTGGCTTTGTTCTAGAGGACTCATTAGGGTAGAATGAAATAACTCTCTGATCACTCACGGGAAAATGACGGAAATCTAAAATCGATTTCATTTGCAGTTTCTAAAAATTTGTTCTCTAGGAGACTGGCTCATATTAGCTGAGACCACGGGGTCTTTTGTGAGTTTCCTCCCTTGATGACCTTAGATAAGTCTCATGGCTGTAAATGTCACCCACGTGTTTAGGACTGCAAAGCCACCCGGCCCTGGTCTCATCCCCAAACCCAGGCTCAGCTGCCTGCCACTTCCAAATGAAGCTCTGCTTAGACAACTTGACCTCCTCACCATGGCTGCTCTGCTTCTTGTGCCCCCACTTTTCATCCATCTTCGAGGCCTATGGATTCTATATCCACTTTCTGGGGAGTCCATTCCACCCTTTCACCAGTACCCTGACCCAGCCCTGTTACCTTTTGGCCAGAATGACTGCAAGAGCCTCTGGTCCCCTGGGCCACTTCTGCCTCTCCCAAAGCATCCAGAGGTACAAATGGGATCATGCCATTCCCTGCTCCAAATGCTCCAAGCACTCCCATCACTGAACACAGCACCCAAACTCTTCACAGAGAGGGTCACCTGAGCCGTGCCCATCTACACTGGCCACTTGTCTTCTTGCTTCAATCACACTCACTGACCTTCTGTTTCTTGTACAGGCTTAATTCCCATTTGCAGGGGTCCTATGCTGGTCATTTCTGGCCATTCCTGATCTGCATGAGGCTGGCCACTTCCCATCATCCAGACCTCAGCTTAAACATCCCCTCTGCCACAGAGAGGCCTGTCCAGACTGTCCAATCTAAAGCCACACCTGACCCAGTAGAGCAGTGTCAGCAAACCAAGCCCAAGGGCCATCCATAGTTTTTAAATAAAGCTTTATTGGAACACAGCCAGGCCTATTTATATATTATATGGGGCTCCTTCTGCACTATGTCAGCAGAGCTGAGCAGTTGTGACAGATACCATCTGGCCCACAAAGCCAAAAATATTTACTACCTGGCTCTTCACAGAAACAGCTTGCCAGCCCTACTCTAGGTCACTTTGGGCATCTGAAATCCATATAGCACAGGCTGTGTGACCCTTTTGATGTGTGTCTATCTAACTATGTCTCTTGTGCTAGAAAGTTGCCCTGATGCCCACTGCTTCACTCCTGACCACGCCCCAGGTGCCCACAGCAGAGCTCGCCCATGGCAGTTGCTCAGGAAATACTGGTGAACAAGTAACCATGAAACTGTCATTGACATCATCTGTCTTCTTTCTCTAGGGGCCCACGGTGCCCCAGACTTCGCCATTCTCTCCTGATTGTGAAGGTGACCTGTGAGCACAGAGGGACCACAGGCCCATCTTCCAAACTTGGCCTCTTGGGCTAACTGAGCTGGGAGAGCCAAAAAGGTCCAGAAGAAATGAGCGGAGAAGGCCAGCGACAAACTCAGGGGTGCCTTGGCTCACCCACAGCCATGGCTCCAGGTAGGGCTCCACAGCAAACAAGGCTGGTGGTGGCAGCACCGTCGGCCCACCACCCATGGGTTCTGGCCTCTGCCCTTACCAGCCAGCTGCTGCTGCTGCTCCTGGGCTTTCTCAGCATCCGCCCTCAGGCTGGCATGGCTGGTCTGCGAGCGGCAGAGCTCCCGGCTGACCTCGTCCAGACGTTTCTGTAAGGCCTCCTCATTCTCCTTGTGAGACACCTGGGGAGCAGGCAGAGGAAAAAGGACCATGAAGATGCTGAAAGGAGGCTAGACCCTCAGCTAGCTCTGAGGTCATGCAGGACACCCTGCCATCTACCCCAATGACTTATAAAACCCACATGGATTTCTAAAGTCAAGTAAGTCATCCATTGGAAAAAGCCAGGAGGCCATGTCTCCCCTAGCCCTTGAAGAGCTGGCTCAGGGTAAAGGGGGCTTAGGTGAAGGAGTCACATAAAGGAAAAAGCCCCATTTTCACTTTAGCGTGGCACAGAGAGATGTTTCCTACAACTTAAACCTCCAGTCCAAATTGGCTATTCCCTGACTTGGCCTTTGTACAGCTCACACTTATTGAGCTCTTTTTCTGTGCAAGGCAGTTCTAGGCACTGTGTATGTATTAGCAGATTAATCCCCAACCACCCCATGAGATAGGCACTACTGCCACAGCCATTTTACAGATGGGGAAACTAAGGGTCCGAAATCCTGTAGCAGACACCAGGGACCTCACTGTCAACACCATGCCCTCCCAGAATCTTTGGTGTCAGAGAGGAAAGAATGGACTCCTCTGTGTGGCCTCAAGCTGAGAATGAGTACCCTGAGGCCTGAGGGCAGAAGATGCACAGAGTCTGGAGCTTACTGATGAAAGCCAGGCCCAGGCCTTGGCCCTGGACTGGGTCCTTAGAAATGACACATGTAATGGTGCCACCTTGGGCACTAGAATGGTGGCTCTAGCCCCAGAAGCACTAGAACCACTTGGGAGCCTTTAAAACATTATCATAGCCAGGCCCAACACTGTGGTTCTAATTTCACTGGTCTGGGTGGGCCTGCTTTACATGAAAATCATTAAACACCAAATTATCCATCTCGACTCCACCTAAACAATCCAAACTGCGTTTGTCTATATTCCTTATACAAACATCAGTCTTCCAATTTTGTGTTTGTCATTCTAGTCTCTTCCATAAGACAGCCCCATTGCTCCACGTGCTACAGCCTAGCTTCAGTGACTGAGCAGGAAAAGGGCCCAAAGCCCTTCGGGACACCAGGATTTCCTTGTTATCCAGAAAAGTTAAACGCAAAGCAGGCGTGATGTTAAAGCTCCCCACACCCGGTCATCCTGCCCCAAAACAGACTAGGGGGATCCAGAAGTCATCGAGCCAACAGGCAGCAAGGCACCTAGGCTGAGGGGTACACCGGATGTTGCCCAGTGCACTGTGGGAACAGGGGGACAATCTTCCTTCCTCTGGAGAAAGGGCATCTCCCTGGGAAAAGAGCTTCCGAGCCACATCCAGAGGCTGAGAAGGAAGAACACCCAGCCAGCCTTGAAGCCAGAGACTGCTACCATTAGCTTGGCTGGCTATGGCCGGAGCTGCGGTACCAGAGGTGGTGGCGTTGTGTGAAAGGACAAAAGCTCTGAGGCTAGACGACCCGGAGGTTCGAATCTTGCCTGTGTGTGAACTTGGGATAGTTGCTTAACTTCTCTGAATCTCAACTTTCCATATGAGTAAATTATAGATAGTAATAGAACCTACCTTGTAAGGTTACAATGAGAATTAGCTGAGCTAATGCTTGTAAAGTGCTTAGAACAATGTGTAGCACATAGAAAGCAACCACTCAATGCTAGCTAGCTATCACAATCATTCACGAGGCCAAGGCTGAGGATTTCAGCTGTAGCTCTGCTTGGCTCTCCAGCTGTAGGCATGACTCAGTTGTGGCCGGAAAAGCCCTGGCCTGTCTCTGCTACACAGACAAGCTTGGTATGTGGAGTGAATAGGGCACTGAGATGGCCACCACCCTACCCACCTGCAGCTGCAGGATCTGTTTCTCGAAGGCGGCTGCCTTGGCCTCCAGAGCCTTCCGCTGCTGCTCCTCCTGCCGTGAGGCGTCTGACTTCTCCACCAGCTCCTTGCTGACCTTGCTGAGCTCCTGCCGGAGCTTGGCCAGCTCCGCATTCTGCCTGCAAGACAGTCACCAGCCCCCAACTGACGGACAGAAGAGGGCTCGAGTCAGCTGTCACTAGCCCCAAGAGGTGCCCCCAGAGGACTGGGACTGTGGTCTGAGCCTTCCCACTAAGGCACCTGTTCTTTCGTAAGTAGTTGCCCAAGTCTTGGAGTCTTTACCAAAGCCCCTCTTGCATTATCAGCCAAATGGGGTTTTACCAGCATGGTGTATGGACCAGAAAGAGCAAAGAGTAAAATGTGCACTGAAATATCTCATGAGTGCCCCTCCCAGAAAACAGCTAGAAATTCAGAGAAAAAAAGGCAAGACATGCTTTTCCTCATTGCTAATCAAGGTCCAAACAAGCCTTGGGATGCGGGCTGCCTGGCCTAGTCCTCCTGCAGGGCCGGGGGCAACAGCCTGTTGGAGTCCATGTGTCCTGCTTCACTGGAGGCCACCAAGAGCGGGAAGCTGAGGCACTTTACAAACCCAGGAGAAGTTCCAGGAGGGTGGGAAAGAGACTTGATTGACAGGAAGAGGGGCAGCTCAATACCGCCTTTTCCAATATGAGGAGGTAATCAGCATGATGGCCTCCTTGACTAGCACAAAAGATACCTCCTCAAGGCAGGACCAATGGTCCAGGCAAGGGACAGCACCAGACAAGATGAATGGGACAGACAAGACTGTCATAACCTGGGACGAAGGAAACCTGGCCAAGATCAGCTGTGTTTGTTGTTGGAAGGTTGCAGTTGGGGGTGGAGGGGGGGCGCACCTCTGGACTGGGTTTCCTCATCCGCACCAAGGAGGCTGCTCCAAACGCTCTGCAGAGCCATCAGCTCATGCTGTACATTACCAAGATTCAAGACTAGAGAGCTCACAGGAGAGGCCAGACTCCAGCACCCTGGGATGGAGGTGGGAGGCTAGGTGGGTGGTCCCTTAAGACTGATTTGCAGCTCTGGGAGGGGCCTGGGAATACCCATCTCACACAGGGAGAGCTTCCACAGACTGACGGAAGTCATCAGCTGCCACCGTGGGGTGACACATCTTCATGCTTTGGAACATTACCCAGGATGGAGGCTACAGCGGATTCTACGTGACAGGGGAAACCAGAGTGTTCCTCTGTCCCTGTGTTCACCTTCTGCTGTGGCTGCTGAAAGGAAACTGCAGCCACAAACCTCCAACCGGCCGATAGGCCAGGGTGGTGATGAAGACATGTGCACATGCACACCCAAAAGGGACCTCCAGAGAGAAAAGAATGGCCTAGGGAAGGTGGCCTTCAGATCTCACTCTCTGCCAGGGGAGCCACCAGAAAAAAACTTTCTCTGGGAAGTTTGTGGGTGCCAGCACTCCCCTCCTTGGTCTGGCTCCCCAGCCAATGTTATGCCTCCTTGACTTCCAGCTAAAGAACTGAAGGTGTTGGTGCTCTCTGCCTTAATCAGTTCCTCTTGACAAAAGGAGACGCCCTCAGATAACGCAGATCCCCAGAACGTTCCTTCAGGATGCTTCAGGCCAAGAGAAGGCAAAAAAATGTGAATCAAAAGAATGCAGGGGCGCTTCCTCCAGGCTAGCCTGTTGAGACTAATAACTCAAACCATGGAATCAGAAGAATGCCAGGGCGCCTTAACACAGTGCGGTTTGTGCTGCCCTTGGGGTAGGCCCACTCGCTATGGACTTTCTAGCACTTCAGCTCCTGAGAGCAATGCTGAGTCAAGAACTCTGCTTAGGGCCGGCTGAGTGGCTCAGCTGGTTAAGAGTAGGCTTGGGAGCGCGAGCTCTGAGCAGCAGGGCCACCGGTTTGGTTCCCGCAGCCAGTGACGCTGCGCCCTCTACAGCTAAGACGGTGAACAACAGCTCGACCTGGAGCTGGGCTGCCGTTGAGTCGACGGCGTAGGCTACAGTGGGGCTGCTTTGGACTACTGTGAGTGGCCGGCACCGGCGAGAGCTGCTGTGAGCCTCCATGAGTGGCCATCCAATGGCCAGCAACCGATCTGCCTCAGTCAGGAAGAGTGCAATGATCATAATACCAACATGGGCCAGTGAAGCAACGTCCTCCACAACTAGACTGAAGAACAAAAGGACAGCAACTTGTCTGTTCCCCTTTGCCGATTTCCCAACACTGTTCCCCTCCCCCAATTCCCCAATAAAATCTTAAAAAAAAAAAAAAAAAGAACTCTGCTTAGCAGGCTGGGCCGGTATGCTGTAAAGCAGTGCTTATCACCAATGCATCAGAAGCAAATGTCCCTCCAGCACAGGGGATCCCTTCCCCAGTGGAAAATCAAGGCGCTGAGGCGCACGGAAGGTCCCTACACCACATCAAACTCTGATCTTGGAAAATCCACTTGGCCCTGATACTCTGGGCCACAATCAGGAGGTTTTGTTTTGTTTTGTTTTGTTTTCAAGATTGTATTGGGGAAATTGGGGAATGGGAACAGTGCTGGGGAATCGGGGAAGGGGAACAGACAAGTTGCTGTCCTTTTGTTCTTCAGTCTAGTTGTGGAGGACGTTGATTCACTGGCCCATGGTGGTATTATCATTGCGCTCTTCCCGGGTGAGGCAGTCGCTCAGCCATTGGACGGCCGCTCACGGCAGCTCATGGCAGCTCACGAAAGTGCACGCCAGCTGCTGGCCAGGCCCACTGCAGCCTATGCTGTCGCCAGCAACTCACAGCAGCCCAGCTTCAGGTCGAGCTGTTGTTCACCATCTTAGCTGTAGAGGGCCCAGTATCACTGGCCCTCATGTGGGATCCAAACCGGGGCCCTGCTGCTCAGAGCTGGTGTCCCAAGCCAGCTCCTAATCAACATGCCACTCAGCCGGCCCAGTCAGGAGTTTTTAAAAGCCTCACATTGGGATGTTGTGAACACAGTCATGGAAAATGTATCTGCTCATCCGGGAAAGCTGATACCAGCACCAGCCAGGACCTGACGGGCATCTGATCACATGGGCACTGGCAGGCTGGAGCTCACGCCACTCACCCTGCGGCCTGACCATGGGAGAGGACACTGGCCACACTTCAGAAGGTTCAGCCGCTCAGAACCAGACAAGAGATGGAGGGTCAGGATGGAGCCCCAAATGGGGAGGTGCAGAAGTGCACAGCCAGCCTCAGATCCAGTAAGAAACTAGACTGCACCCACCACAGCCTCAAGAGAGGCTCGGGGACCCTCCTGGGCTCCAGAGCCCCTGGGGATGTGCCGTTGCAGAGTCTGTGACTGGGAGCATTGAGCTTACTTGCTCTCCACCTGGCTCGTAGCTTGGTTCAAGGCATCCCTCAGGATGGAGTTCTCCTGCTGCAGACGGGCCAGCTGTGTGTTGGGGCCATTCTCCAGCTGCTCCTGAAGAGTCCGGATCTGAAAATCATTGATGAAACATCAAGAGTGCTGCTCAGCCTTACAGAGAGAGCTAAATTCTGAAGCAAGATCAATGAGGTCACAGCCCATAGACAAAACTCATGAGGGCTCCACTTCTCCATGCATGGTGGGGAAGACCTCTAAGAACAAGGGGTCTGAAAATTGCACAGTTCCAGCATCAGGGGCTTGGGGCCCAGAGTGAACTCTAGCCACATGCCTCTTCTCCTCGACTCCCAGCTATGGCCTCCAGGTAGTCAGGCACTCAGCCCAGAGCCCCAGACATGCTCCGAGCACTCTGCCTGTGAGGTCACAGGGTTGACTGTTCTAAGGCAAAGGACATGGCCACAGCCACGGCCACAATTACCCAGAAGACTTGATTCCTGCTCTCTGGCCTCCTGTGGCACACCAGGTTAGAGTGCAGGTTTGAGGAGATAGGGCCTAGTGCTCTGACTACACAGACCATGCTGGACAGGCCCCCCCGCCACTACCCAACTCTGGAGCTGTGTGCGTTTTAGGCCTTTTGCTTTATGCGATCCTCCCAACCTCAAGTGGAGAAGGCAGAGCCAGCATTACTCTAGGATCACATGGAGGCCAAGACTTTGACCCATGGGCACCTAACCTACGAGACGGGGCACAGGGATGGCCACTTGGGACCAGACTTTTCAAAAAGTACTTTTTAAAATGTATTTTTATATCTTCCTGGTTAGAAACATTAAACACACACAGTGGGCTGACTGCCACTATCTGACCAGATGAAACAGCCGCTTCCTCCAAAAATGAACCAGATTCTGCAGACCCTCCACCCTCTCAGGCATCCAGCCCTCCCTGGTCCCCTGACCGTGCCCCTGCAGCCGCTGCCCACCTTGCCCTGCAGCTGTTGCACCTCCTTCACGTGCTCCCGGTAGCTGGCCTGCATTCGGGCCTGCACGGCCGTGATCTCCTGCTCCCGGGCCACCAGCTGCTTTTTCACCTTCGCCTCCCCAGCTGCAGCCTTGGCCTTTTCTGCTGTCAGCTCCTGGGAGAAAGCAGAGGGCAGAGGAGGGCCGGCTAGGCAGGCAGGAGCAGGAACTTATCAGATGGAGCCAATATCAGAACCCAGAGTATCGGCTAGGGTTTAGAAGAAAGAGCTTGAGAGCAGAGCCATGAGACCCCTCCCCCTGAGTTGTCAGACAGCCCCAAGCCAGCCACAGAAACAGTAAGCAAGAGATGAGAGGTCCCTGGTAAGTCCTGCCAGCCTGACAGATGGCGGGCTGGATATCAAGCCTTGTCCAGAGTAGATGCAGTGGACATAGGCAGGATATGAGTAAACCTGGCATTCTGTCCCCAGGCTCTCCAGGGACACTGGCTCAGCCCTACTGGGATTACAACACCCCACTTGGCTTGGTCCCTCACATCCAGGCCCCAGAACACTTACTTCTACTTGAGCACCTTTGTCAGGACCAAAGACTGCAAGCCTTGATGGCTGGTGTGGGGATACAGATAGCTACCCGCCCCACTGTGGCTAGGGGTCGGCCCCACTCCTGGAGGGCCTGGGTCTCCATGGGCAGCCACTCAGCCCTCCACCCCAGGCCGGGGAACGTCTACTCTGGGCAGTGTCGGGTGCCGTGATGAACACAGGATGCTGGGTCTGAGGACCCAGAGCCTCAGGCAGGGGAAGAGCACAGGGTGGGAAGGGCTGGTGGAAGGAGAGCGGCTGGCTGGATCTGTGTCCTCCCAGAAGAAACAGCACTGGAAGGAATCCTCAGGGGAGCAGGGGGTGACAGTTCAAGGAAGGGCTGATGCAGTGGGCCCCTAAGAAGGGAGTGCTCCGTGCCCACTGGGCCTCCAGCCAGAATGGCAACTACCTGGTACGGGCCCAGCTAGCTTGGGTGTCTGGGGTGCAAGTGTCCAGGAGATTCAAGGCCCTGTCCCTTCCCTATCTTGGGCAGTGAACCAGAGAAGTGAGGAATCCTCTCCAAGCCAGGGGTGTCAGGGAGACCCATCCTAAAGGGCCAGCGTGTCCCTCCTGACTGAAAAGAGACAGAACTGGACGTCAGGGGAGGGGCTGAGCAGATCAGGGTGGCCACTGGGTGTCAGGGCTGCTATGTGCACCTGGCATTCCCTGGGAACACCTGGGATCCACTGCCTACTTTTCAAAGACAATCCTCCTCCTGGCTCCACCCAGGGTGAGAGCCCACAGGAACATAGGGTCCAAGCTCAGGAATGCCTCACTGATTATCTACAGAACTGGGAGAGGAGGCTGACATCGTGCGCCTGCTCTAAGATAAGCAGGCGTCTCGTTCAGTTCTCTCGGTAAGATCAGGATCTTGATGCCCCGATTAAAGCTGAGCTCACAGAGCCTTGGGGAGGAGACACTGTCCCAGGCTGGGGAGTGAGCAGCCATAGTGGCTGAGGTGGGCTGGAACCCAGGACTGTGTGAGCCCACAAGGGTCCCAAAAAGTGTGAGGAACGAGGCACACGCTCCTCTGGCTGGATCAGCAACCTCTAAAGAAGCAGGACAGGGCAACTTAGTGGGGATTCAAGGCTCCACCAGGCTTCCTCTAACACGCATGCCCCCACCAGCCCTGCCAGCATAGCTCCACACATCAGCAATGGGAAGAGACCTGTTTTCTTTGCTGGGTTTTTCAGACAAGAGCCGTTTCAAATATAGGATCCAGGCTTGGAAGAAGAAACCAAAATCAGAGAGACCCTCGAGTGCCCACAGCTCCACCAGAAGCAGGTGGTTGGTACAGCCACATGTAGGCCGATCTCTGCCAGCTCTGCTGGCCACGCCGGACGAACACTCAGAGGCTGGCACTGAGCATCTCTCAGAACAGCCTTCTCCACCCTGGGCAGATCTCGTGAAGTTTTGGCCATCCACTTGGGCTCAGGGGATAAAAGTCCCAACCTCTTGCAAACAGAGTCCCAAGGCCACCAGAAGTAAATGGGATTTCCCTTCCTTTTGCCTCTGGTTTTTTTAATGGGAGCAAAAGGCTAGCTTTTCCTCATGGCATTTGTTTAGTCTTCCTTGGCTTCTTTTTTTTCTAAGAGCTCAGATCCCAGGATTCCTATTACCTGTTAAATTCTTAATTCAGCTGCAGGGTTCAGATTTATTTTCTTGAAAGGCACGCTTGATGGTGGTGAGGACTGGAGCCCCGTTTTCTTTGACTGGGCTGGGGGAGGAGGGTTGGCACCATCACAAGCACTGCTGGCTCAGAAATGGCACTCCGCTCACCAGACCGAGAGTGGGCCCTACTTGGTGTGAGCTTCTGAGGCCTGCTGAGGCATGAGCAAGAGGCAAGTCCCATCAAAACAGATCCCACCCCACCCCTGGGGGCACGCCCACCCTGAGGGTCTCCCTGACTGCCTGAAGTCAGAGCCTGATCTCCCAGGCCAAGAGAGCACAGGATAGGGTCTAGTCTAGAGCTTCACCTCAGGACAGAAGCTCGTGACAGGGCAGGGCACCTGTGTGCTGGCCTCGGGCTTCAGCAGCCACTTGCTGAAAAGAAACCTGCTAGGCTGAGCCAAGCAAGGTAGCCAGAGTCACAGGGGACAGATATCATGGCACCTAACTGCAATGATGACCTCTGTGCTGGGACAATAAAATGGGGGCTTCAGAAAGCTTCCCAAGAAAGGGAGAGCAAATTGAGTCTTCAAGGATGAGAAAAAATTTCCAGCCAGCCAAGCAGTGAAGGGCATTTGAGCCTAACAGAAGACCAGGAGGGGAGGCCCACAGGCGATGAAGGTACAACACATCAGGGAGCAGATGGGGGTGGGAGAACAAAGGTGATACTCAGGGTGTAGACTCGGGTCTGAAGATTAGGAGCCACTTGAGCTTAAAGAGGGCCTCACAGGACCAGATCAGCACTGGAGAACCCAGAAGGACCTCCTCGGGCTGCCGGGAGGAGGATGTGGTCAGGAGACAGAGGACCTTGGCTGGACATGCTGTCACACATCTCCTTGGGAGCCAAGCCCTGGAACCCTGGAGGGCAAAATGAGTAGCGAAAACCAAGGGCCGCACCCCTGTGTATCTCACAGCCCCCTGCAGCTGACAGCCAGGTACACAGTCTACCAGGGGAAGGCTGGAAATGCATCTGGACCTGGGAAGCGTGTCTGTGGACTAGCAGACATTGTGGTTTTGGAAATCTCATCAAGCGGCCACCGAGGTAGAGGAGTAAGTGTCCAGCACAAGGGGCAGTGTCTAAGAGGCCTCCTTCTGCAGGTTGCATGCCCCCCTCACATCTGCTGCCCTGCCTGGGGTACTCAGAGACACCAGCAATGGGGAAGAGGCGAGCCACCATCTCCATCAGAAGTTACGCCAACTCACTAATCACACCTGCAGGCCATCCTAAATTCAAGGGGACAGGCACAGGAACTAGCCAAGGTAACCACATGGTCAGCCAGCTGTGGACACACTCCTGTTTCCTCTGACTTGAGCTTTGTTTTGGGGGGTCAAAAATTTCCACTGGCATTTCTCAGTTTATCCAGAAAGAGTGTATGGAAGAATGGCTCCCTGAGACCACAGACTCTTAACCAGTGCTATGCTGGTTGGCTAGCTCTCAGGGGGAAAGGGCTCTGATTTGTATATAGTGCTGGCCTGCTGGCCCACTTCCGTGGTGTAAATGCCCCTGGCCTGTGGCACACCTCCAGCCAAGGCAGGAAGAAACATGTGCAATCAGCTCTTGGGAGCAGGATAAGTGGCTCCAGTCACCCTGCATTTAACCAACAACCCAAAATGGGCTCATGTGAAGGCTTTGTGTGGACAGTCTTGAAAGGGACAGTAAGCACCCCCTAACCCTGGCAGAAACTATCAAGCTCTAGGAGAGGTCACAGAGACTTGCTTTTTCCTTATCTTCTGGGCAGAGCATTAACCAAATGGGTAGAGTATCAGCCAAAGGCTCATCTTCTGCTCCTGCGTCCCCCACCAAACGAGCTTTCCCATTTGGCTTGGAGCTGCATCCCTCCAACTTAGGACAGAAACTCAGGCTGCATCATTTCTTCTCAAATGAGCAGAAGGCGGTGCCCAGAGGAAGGGCTGCAGTGCAGATAGTTTGAGGCATTCCAAGGCCCAGGCCGTCCCCTTGCACCCGCTGCACTGACAAGTGAGACAGGAAAGCAGGGAGAGGGCAAAAGCAACACTAAGCATTTTGCTGGGAAAACCCAGCCCATGGAGCTGGGGCACCAGGACTTTCTCCTCAGGAGAGGCGAGGAGAAACCCCAGTGAATTCTGGCAGGGGGAGAGCGGCCCCTTGTACATGATTCCTGACTCATCCAAGTGTTGTTCAATGAGCAAATGTTACACACCAAGCCATCAGCTGACACAAGGAGCCAGGCTTTCCCTGTAGGATTGCTCCACAGACATCAGGAAAAGGAGAAAAATAATGCCACCCCCTACCCCCCACCGCCACGGGTTTTTGCTCTAATTCTCAAGCAAACAATCATGGATCAACTCTGCCCATCCTCCTTTCAGGGCATATACCCAAAAACAACAGCCCATCATGTAGGACTAGCCAGTGAAGTTCTAGTCCATCCCCATCACACACTGAGTGTCCTAACACCTACTTAATGTCCCTGCATTCTGAGTCCTGAGAAAGGAGCCACCACCCCAAAGAGCTCTCCAGGGGCAGCACAGGCTGGCGGCAGGCTTCACACAGTCGCAGTGCGCACTGGTTTGAGTGGCAGTTACATTTGGCAGGCCCCAACGAGGAGCCGTGGTAGGGAGGCTGATTCCACGAGCCAGGGGCAGCGCTGGCCACAGCCCAGGGTTTCTCAGGACAGGGAGTACGATTGGCTGTACCTTATTGAGCTCCCTCAGTTTGCTCTTGGCGACAGCCGCGTCTTCCTGCTCTGTGGCCAGCAGCTTTTCTTTCTCTTCCAGCTGGCGCTTCAGAATCGCCACAGGGTCACCCTTCTGAGTGGCCTAGAAATGCCCACAGAGCCACATTAACAGGAGAGAGACAGGCACATGGTTTGTACCCCCAATCCAGCAATCATACCCTGACCCATGAAAAGCCTGATAAAGTGGAAGCAGGTGCTTTAAGATGAGCAAGTTCCATCCTGACTCCAGATCCTTCTGGGGAGAAGCCACTCCTGCCTCAGCCGCCCAGTCTGTAGGACCTCCAGGCCCCATGTGCCTAGGAGCTGTCTGCAAAAGTGTTGGGTCTCTGGGACAGTTGCTAGGAGCATGGTGTTTCCCACCAACTCGAGGTGATGGTGGCCAGGGCCGCTTCCTGCCCCACTGAGAGGCAGTTGATCACTGTTGCTGGCTCGGTGCCCACCCTTTAGACACTGTGTCAGCCCACAAGCTACTGGTTGAAACACAGAGGCTGTGGTAGGGGGGGAGAGGAGCATGCTGGGGACACCAGCCTGATCTAATTCTGGGACTCTCTCCTTGGGGGAGGAGTGGTTATCTTGACCTCCTCCAGCCACTCACACCCAGGAGACCTCCGTCCACCCCTCATGCTCACAGAGCGAGGAGCTCCCTGCGACTGACTGTATGACATGTCACAGCTCAGCAAGAGTCAGGAGGGGAATAACCCCCACTGGCCTTAAGGCAGGGGCCACTGGCCTCTCAGGACACCCCCCAACATCTCTAATCACTAAGTTGCCACAAAATTCTGCAGCAAAATTGCCTAGAATTCCAACTCTGATTAAGGAACAAACATATGCCATGCAGCACTTCCTAGGGGCAGCTCATTTGCCAAAGTACCAGAGGGTAGTGCCAGCCCCTGAACTGGCACCCCAGCAGGAGGGAAATCAGAGAAAGGTGTTTCTGGGCCCATCACAGGGTTCCCTCACTCACAGTGTGTACCTACACACCTTCCTTCCTGCACCCGGGGCCTTGGCCACAAACCAGTTGGGCCTCGGCTCCTGTGTGGATTCCCCAGGGCCCCTGTAACTCAGAGCTCTGCCCTGGCTCAACATCCATCATGATTCAGTGGCCCAACAATGGGGGGGCTGTGGCAGAAGCCAAAGCATTGGTAGGGTGATTCATGTAGCCCCTGCTTGGGAAAGGATGGCAGGGTTATGCTGAGAAAGGTAAGCAGAGGCTATTTCATGAACACTGTGCACCTTGGCAAGCAGGATATAGTCAACATGATCGACATCACCTAGGGAAGGCTGGCACCCCACCAGGTAGCCACTGCAACTCGCCTGCCCAAGAGGGAGGGGGAAGGGCGAAACCACCCAGGGTAGCTGCAGCAACCACTGAAAGTAGCCCGGGAAGGGTGGGCCTACCTTATGCCAGGTGTCCTGAATGACACCAGTCTTCTCAGATAGAATCTCAATGAGCCGCTGGGCCTCGCCCTCACTGAACACCATGCTGCCAACTGTGGAGACCAGCGTCTTGTAGGGGAGGTAGAGAGGGCTGTCCGAGTCCGGGGGCCCTGTACACAGACAGAGGGGAAGAGCAGAGACTTATACTTAGATACCAGCGACCAAGCCTATCACACCCCAAAGCAGCAAGGGCCAGTCAGAAGCAAGGACTCTGGGGGTGTAGCTGGTTAGCTCAGATAGTGAGAGCATGGTGCTGATAACACCAAAGTTGCTGGTTCAATCCCCACATGGGCCACTGTGAACTGCACCCTCCTTAAACTAAAAAAAAAAAAAAGCAAGGACTCTGTCCAGCTGCCTGGGGTATGCTCTTTGACTTATGATGGCTTTACGTCCCAACAAACTCACTGTAAGTTGAAGATATCATAAGTTGAAAATGCATTTAATACACCTAACCTACCAAATATCATAGCTTAGCCTAGCATACTTTAAATGTGCTCAGAACCTTACATCAGCCAAACACAAAGCCTGTTTTATAAAAAGTATTGAATATCTCATGCAAGTTATTATGTGTATCGCTTTCACCTGATGGTAAAGTCAAAAGACTATAGGTGGAACCATCGTCAGTCGGAGACGGTCTATACTGAGAAATGGACTAAACTGAGGTCCCTGCATGACACTCCTGACCGCCCAAAGGCAGCCAAGGGGGAGGGTCCCCAAGTAAAGAAAGGCAGAGTTTTTTTGGGTTGGGGGAGATGTTCGCCCTCCCCCACTTTCATCTTCTAAATGAGCAGAATTAAGCAAGGCATATCTTTCCCAAAGGTGTTTTTTTTCCTCCCTCCTTTTCCCAGCAAATAGCCCAGCAAGGTTCACCCCCATGCCATGACCAAGCTCTATGGCCCTACAGGTCCTGACTGACCAGCAAGCCTGCCATTCCCCACAAACACAGATGCCAACAGCCGCACCCCCAAAGTCATAGGAGAAGCATGGAAAGCAAAAGGCCCATGTTTCCAGGGCTGCTTCTCTGTGGCTCCAGGAAAAAGGAGGCTGCTTCCCACACACGCAGGTTCACACACTATTTCCAGCGCTCCTTGGAAGAAGCTTAGGTGGGCGTTAGGAGAGCGCAGGTTAGGCTGGGCTCTGTCAGTATGGGCCTGCCCACTCAGTCCACTACTGGCCTCAGGAGGACATAGAGCCATTTGCCAACAACGAAACACTCCTGATACCACATCCCCACCCCTCAAAGCTTTTGCTCTCATCATAGGCTCTCAATGCAAGAAATGCCCCATCTGTTAGGAGCATGCCTGAAATGCCTGGGCAATTCCTTAGGTTAAGGCCCAAATCTGCCCCACAGCTAAATGACAGGGTCAAAAATGAGGCAAATCCAAGAAAACAGGTCCACTGGCCTGCAGTGGCCCCTTTAGCTAAGCCTACCTCACTGAGGACAATGAATAGGGAAGGTTTCCATAGCAACCCTAAATTCTCTGGTCTGTCACAATATTCTCACGTACTAGTCACAGTATTTTCATCACAAGTCAAAGCATTTAGCATGATACCTTAATGAGGGGAATGTGGGACTTGGGCAAGCTGGTTGCTATGAGCACCTTGACGTTAGAACTACTTACCTGGGTGAAGCTCGAGATTAAAAATAACCATGTTGACACTAAAGTGTTAAGAGCTCAAGGGTGTCACGAAAATGGATATAAGAGGAGGGGGGAGCATGCCCCCTTTAACCTTCTGTCTTTTCATTGAAATATATATAAAATACAATTTTAATGGTAAATTTATGCACAATAGAAAAAATTCTGAATACAGCTAAGCCAAAAGAAAATAAAAACCAATCTCTAGTTCACTATCGGGAGAAAACCCCACTGTTATCATTTTGGTTTATGGGCTTCCTGCTTTCCTCCCTCTTCCTGTAGACAGATGTTTAACGCCAGTGTTTTCCAGAAAAAGGAGGACCATTTGTTTCAAAGGCACTGCTGAGTAAGGCTGGACAGGACAGCCTCTCTGAAGCTGATCACTGCACAGATATTTTCCTGACCTCACTCAGAAAAGGTCTAATCTTGCACTGTCCAGTATGCTGGCCACCAGCCATGTGAGGCTACTAGGCACCTAAAATGTGGCTAGTGTGAATGGAAGTGTGCTACAGGTGGGAGTACACCCTGGATTTCAAAGACTTTGTACAAAAAGAAAAGTATCTGTAATAGTTTTTTTCTATTGCTTGTATTTTTAAATGATAATATTTTTTGTAAACTGAGTTAAATAAAATATATCATTAAAATGAATTCCATTTGTTTCTTATTTGCTTTTAAATGTAGCTCCTAGGAAGGTTTAAATTCCATACATGGTGCACACATGGGGCTCACACTGTGTTTCTACGGGACAGGCTAGTCTGCTCCTTTCCAGCCCTGGGGACCCCCCAAAGCACTCCCTGCAGAAGTCCTGGCAGTTCCCATCCCTGCAGAGGCCTCAGAGTGACTAGGGGTTCAGGTCTCTCTTGAAGGCTCTCCTTGAAGACTATCCTTCTAAGCCCCTGTGGCTCCTACTGCATTGCTGAAGTTGGTGGGGGTGGAGGAGATATCTGGATAATGCAAGTATACTTCGCTATGAAATGTCATTTCTTTGACAGGCGCCACACCAGTGGTTCAACAAATGCGCAGTCCCTCCTGGAGGGTATGGAAAAATGGAGCCTCAAGATGCCCTGTGTACAAAATGTTTCTGAAAGTATTCTGTGAGTGTCATTCTAATACACCTTTAATGTAACTTTATAATATAATTATACTAAATTTTATTAGGTATATTAATGAACAAAGCAATAACAACTTGTAACAAGTGAAACAATCCAAAGCTATGCACAGCAAAATTTAATTCTCCCCTGCCCACTCCCTTCACAGAAACTTCCATGGCCTTCTCCATCCTCATGCAAACACTACCTTTTACATTATTTTTAGAAAACCATAACTTTACATTTTTTCATTAAGTCTTTTAGGTAAAAGCGGTGCAATCTCTATTCTCCCCAGATCAGGGAAGAAAAACTGAAAGAAAAAAGAAAAGGCCTTCAAATAGGAACCAGGGCTTAGGACTTCTGCAGGGGTCACATTCACTTCCGGATTTCAAGCTCTTCCACCACACCAGCGGCATTAGGCACACCTTGATGAGGTGCCAGTTACTGGGAGGCAGGCACACTGACTCATGAACAGACAGGATACTAACAGGAGCTAATACGTGCCGGCACATCACACGTCTCCAGCAAATACTCAGAAGACTAGAAATAATCCTTGGTATTGTGAAATCTTAAGGCACTAAAATAAATTTGTCAAAGATTCAACATCTAATCTATTAAACCAAACACTTCATAAAGACGGTGAGGCAGTGAAATTTAGCGAGATCAGCTCACTGAGGGCCTGCTCTTGCAGCCAATGCTTTGCCCACCCTGGTGAGTCTGAAATACCAGGAACAGGACGGGAGGCCTGCGGGATGAATGAGGCAAAAGGATGAATGAAGGGATGAATGAAGCAAAAGAGTGAAGACCAGAAAGGCAGGGCCTCTGCTCTGGAGTAATCCAGACCCCTGTCCAGCAGGGGTACAGCAAACACCCCCAGAGGCCAGGCCTGGGCTCAGGAGAAGCCTCTCCTGAGTGGGGTGGCCTCGGGCATGCTCCTTCACCTCCAGGTGACAGCCTCCACAGGGTCTGGGTCAGAAGCTTCTGAGCTGCAGACTTGCTGAGAAGAGCCAGATGTGAGGTTTTTATGTGCCTGACCAGTAGTGCTGACAGCTAACTCAATGAAGAACAGATAAATAAAACTGCATATCTGAACAAACACATCCATGGGCCAGGTCCAGCCTGCAGGCCACACCTGTCCTTGGGCAATGGGGCACCATGGTCAGAACAGGGCCAGTGGTAACCTAGGCTCAAAGTCCAGCTTAGCTCCTTCCCACCTGCTTGTCCTTGGGCAAGTGGCTTCATCTCCCTTTGCCTGTTTCCTCATATATGAAACAGGAGTAATAATGGTTTCTCCCTCACAGCCTCACTGCAACGTGCTTGAACAATGTCTGGCACAGGGTAAAGCACTGCAGAATCCATCCACAGGGCCACATTCAAGGCCAGTCACTGGAGAATTGCAGACCCTGAATGCCTCCCTAGGAAGGAACTCACTGGGGGACGTACCGAGCTCCACAGTCCAACACTGTTGCAGACAGCGCACATAGGAAGGAGCTCGCAGGAGCCAAGGCAACTCTGTCCTCTTTCCTACTCCAACCAACAGGATGGACAGAGCACCACAGCCTGTGGACCCTCTGACTCCTGCCTCTCACACCACTGTCCTCACTCAGGAAGTTAAAGGGTAACACGTGCAGGAAGCAGGGAGCCCTCTGCCTCCGGGCTCTCAGCCAAGAAGCACGCAGCTCTGATAACGCGCATTACACCTCAAATTCCAAAACTACACTCCCTTTTGCGATCACGCTGGGAGGCTTAATCACCTAAAATTAAACTTATCTTGAAAAAAAAGGCACTTAGATGCCTCTCTCAGTGTCAACTGGGGTCCTCTGGAGAGAATTTTCTTTGCATCTGCATAATTACCAAGATCTCCAAGGTCAGGCCCCAGCTAAAGGGGACCTCATCGGGCTCCTCAGCCCAACAGTTTCAGCATCAGCCCCTCCCATGGCTAGTTACAAAAACTCCTGCCCGGCTCACGCTGGCTGACTCAACCAACAGGGAGGACGTCGGCACGGCACCACTCGGGGAACTGCCTACTGAGCTCCAGGCAGCTGGTGATCAGTGGGAGGAGATCATCATCACCACAGCCCTGTGATAAGCTGTCAAAATGCTCCAGCTCAACTCCAGCTCTCGGTAGATGCCAGGCAGCCCTGCCCAGGGCAGGCAGGTCCAGGTGGTCTCCAAACACAAAGCACGTGCACCTGGAAGTCTGCAAAAGGCTGGGCCTGGAAAAGTAAATCAGAGGTAGAAGTGCCAGCTGAGACAGGCAGGGGAGACACAGGACACATGGCAATCACACAGCAGAGCCTCACAAAGGGAACCTGGGGACTGTGCGCTCTACCTTGGAAGCAACTATGGTAGCAACACCAGAAAAGCTTTTACATGGGATGCCTG